AACATGTGTTAAAAACAATTAGTTGTCCGCAAACAAATCCACAAGCAGATAGAATTGTTTGATATAATGATTTGTATGTGTTGTTGATTCGCGATGTGGTCGTGTGGTCGGTATCACGGGAAAATAATATCAGTGTGAAATACACTGCTCTCTTTAGGAGCGGCCTCTTTTTCTTTGGCAGCAGCAGCAAGACTAGCAGATTCCATTGACGATTTAGATTAAAATTTGAATTATTTGAATTACTCATAAGGACTTGTATTTTTATGTGATATTGGAGTTTATAAGTCTATTTTAGTGATATGGTTATTCCCTCCCACAAGATGTGATGTTAGCATATCATTCCTATTAGTTATTATGGTTATCTGTAGGGTGTGTAGTTCACGTATCAGGTGTTGCAAACCACTTAATATATATCAGCTGGATTTGTTTTAACAACTCTTGAACCATTACCTATAATCCTGTTTATTGTGATAGTTTTATTGATTGTAAAGTCTGCCGAAAGAATCTCTTGTCTTTCTTAGAAATAATGATAATATGTGTAGCCAAAAACTCTTACTCACAAAATCATATGCTTATTACTAAAAAAAAACCATATAATCTTGTATATTTTAAACTTTTGTACCCTCCTGCTGCTTGATCTTTCGTCTCTCTCTCTCCACTCCCTGCCTCTCCCTTTCATCCCACTCATGTATGCCTGCCTTCCATATCCCGACACTGCTCTGTTCCATGTGTTAAAAGTTAATGCTGGCAGCCAACGTCTTCACAGACTGGTGGGCCAATAGCAACTAAATAGACCAAGGACCTAGCAGCTTAGAACACAATGGAATTTGTATGAAACGCATGAATAGTGAAATGTCAGACAATGGATTGATGATGGATTGAGGATTTGCAAATTTAACCGTTTACGATATGGTTTTCCTATTTTACTGAGTAACTCTGTAATTCTCGATAAATACAATTCGGTTGCCCTCACCTGTGTTCTCCTTCACTACAATACCATGATTAAAGAAACTACGTTTGTTTTTTGTTTATCAAGTCAGTGACTGTCGATTGAGTTTACTATGTGTTTATTTTAGAATAACTTCCAATCATGATAATATTATAATAATAGTGACACTGTTAAGATATTCACCAAATATCCTACGAAGAATCATTTTGTGAGAGTAAATTCTATTGGTCAATATGATGATCATCCTAGCTATCAATGTCACGTACTCCAATGTTGTTTCTTATTGGTCGTCCTGACTATCAATGTCACTTCAAATGTTGCTTCCTTTTGGTTGTCTTAACTGTCAATGTCACAGACTTCAATGTTGTTCCCTATTCAACCTAAATGTATAAATACGCATTATCTGTAATGTTTTATGACCTGGACCCAGATCCTCAATCCGGGATCTTTGTCTTCTTCAGGACTCGGACCTCATACTTTCTGGTTGCTTGTAGAATACATGTTCTACTTCATATCAAGTCTTCTTCTTTTACTCAATGGGGCTTTGGGACAGACGGATTTGCGTAGCATGTCGTGTCATCGGATCCTCGCTCTTGTCTTCCGACTAACGTAAACTCGTAATAGTTCAAGCATACCAAATGACATGTTTACGTGTATGCGTAACAGATAATAATAATAATAATAATAATAATAATAATAATAATAATAATAATAACAATAATAATAATAACAATACCGATAACAATTCCAAAACCGGTTCCAAACTTAACAATATTCATCTCAGTAAAATAATTCTAATCAGTAGAAAATCGAATATCTGACATTTTGTGACTTAATGTAAGCTAACGCTTTAGATACTAAACTTTCCATAGAAGCAACACACGTAAGACATCAACACCATATACACATGAAGAGACAGAGAACGAATTCACTTTACTAAAGGAAACAATTTTATGGATATAAGTTACATCAAACTTAACGAGATTCAAAGGTAAATACTTTAAATAGTTACAATGAATTTTGTTCATTGTTATAAGAAATCTGTGCTAGTTTTCTTTTCGGCTTTATGATATAAATAATTTCCACTACATTTAAATACTAAATGTCTGATTGGCGAATAACCGATTTCATGCTCTTGATCGAAATAAGAATACCATATATCCCTGAACAATATCACTCAGTCAATCAGTTACAAAATAGAACTTCGTACGTAAGTACATAAGTTCAAGTTGACATACCACATTAGCAAAGAGACGCAACTGTTAGTTCAAATCCCATAGTGGTGGAATTCTGTTCACTATCTTGAAAATAGACTACTCCACTTTATAAAAAGAAATTACAAGATATACAGATAACTTTGAATATCAACTATAGACAACTAAATGAGTGTAAATGAGCAATTGAAATTTTAAACTGAAATTTTCACTGTACTTTATTCACACACTTAGTTTCAAAACTGAACACTAACAAATAAAACTACTGGCATTTTCGTTGACCATAATTTCAATAACTGACTTTTCTTCACAACAAAAATTTATCTCATTGGTACAATATTGTATTTTATTGATGAATCTCATACCAGGATGAAACAGCTATCCAGTGCTTCCAGGTTTCTAATAGTGATCTAGCTATGATTGATTCATGATTTCAGCTAAGTAACTCAACACTCTCTCCACAACTTTATCATGCATATAGTAGAAAAGCTAACATTCTACTATATTGTCTTGAGAGGTTTGAGTACAATAATGATCAAGAAGACAGACAGACAGACAGATACAACACAGAACTTCGTATGTATGTACATCAATTCAAGTTGCCATACCGTATTAGCACAAAGATGCAACTGTCAGTTCAAATCCATTAGTGGTAGAGATAATATAAGTATTAGCAGTAATGGAGAAGATTAGGGTATAAGTCAGTAAGATGAAATTAGAAAGAGAAATAATTCAGAAGGTTAGAATTTAAGAAAACACAAAGAGTGGATGCACCTCCTGCACCATAGTAAACAATTTTGAGCCATGTCTTTCAAGGTCTCTAACCATTGGTGACTTTCATCTCGCAGACCCCAACCAGGTAGCCTACATCTACCAACATAACTCAGTCCACTTGTCACTTAATAATCAAGAAGATTAATTCACGAGAAATTTCAACAAGTACTTGATGAATTCCAGAAAACAAAATCTTTTTTCATCAAAAAACAAAGTTAATTATCAACTTACGTTACTGTATGTTCGTTTGATTTACTTCGACTATCATTAGTGTTCATATCATTAGCAGTAGTAGTAGTAATAGTATTATTATTATTATTATTATTGGAAATATTATGAATTTGTGAAATATCCATATTTGTACTATCGGTCAATGTATTCAATGAATTATTCACCTTTGTTTCATTCATATTCAGCGCTGTTGTTTTAGTTAAAGAATTCATTTTCGTTGTATCATTTAAATTTGTATTTAATTTGTACATTTGATAAATTTGATTTGTTAAACTATTATTATTATTATTACTATTAGTTATGTTTAAATCTGATTGGACATAATTATTATTATTACCAATCATTGAAGCTAACCATAATTTTGTTTCATTTGAATTTAAATCAAAATTTGCGCCCAATGGAATTAATGATCCATTCGATGTGGATGGTGATGAGGACAAGGTGAAAAGATTTGAATTTTGTACATTATTCGATTGATTAATGAATGATGGTAAATTAAGTTGTGTTGTAGTAGGGAAATTTAAATTTGAAGCTAAGAATGGAGTATTGGCAAGTTGTTGCTATTCATTGATAGAGAACAATTCAAAATTAAATAAAAATAATTATTAATAACATTGAACTAGTTATTTCCTATGATATTTATAAGTAGGAAGACAATAGATAAAAAAATAAAGGCATTCACCTGTTAGAGACGTTAAATCTCCAGAATTCATTTGGATAAGGTCCTAATTTTGTAATTTATTCCCGAAATTTTGAAGTTCTATGTTTTCGCGCCATGAGACGCTTAGTTGACATACTGATTACATTTCCCACTCAGAAATCCTTGACCGTCATTGGTTGATGGATTATTTTAGTCCGTTATTTTGTGACTCTCACCAAGGGCGTTGCTAACATTGTATAAATAGGCCTGATTTGTGTGCTTAGGAACTTCGTATTTACTGGGTGCTTGTAAAATACACTTTCTACGCCTTATCAAGACTTCTTGATCTAGATAGCGGGGCCGGGGACAAACGGATTAGAATAGCCTATCGTGTCGCTAAGTCATTGCTCTTGTTCCGTTTACCGAGTAAGGTGAACTCATAATAGCATTCAAGCATAAAACAATGATATAGTATTATTATTTAATAAAAGATGAAGTATCTATCCTCTAATAACCATTTATCAGTTTTAATTATCATAAACGATATCATAACCTTTTACTGAAAGTTGTAAAACTGCAACCTGTATTAATCTGGCATAATAAATAATTGGGATACAACAAGAAAGATGGGACTTGATAATTGACTTAATGTCTAGTTGGTACAGTAGTGTGTCGATTTAATGTTTTTAATATTAGGTACAACCATTTTTTCTCAGACATAAAATATCGTCTAATTCCACAATGACCAAGATAGTTATACAGTTGTAATTTATCACAGAACAGAAATGATGTTTATACTGTAATCATCTTACTCTGAATAGTTCTCCCTGCAACAAATATGTATCAGCCATTAAAAAAAATTATCATCTGTAAACTGAAAAGAATGAATGTGATATCTCCCAAAGAACCTTCTATTCAAACCATCAAACGTGAAAATGTGAACAGTGATCACAGAGAATACAAAGCTTTACCTAAACTTATTGATAAATACTTCCAATTTACTGCAACCCATTTCGAAAAAGTTATCCGTCAGTCAGTCGGTTAATCAGTCAGCTACAATCTAGAACATCGTACATACGTACGTACATCAGTCCAAGCTTCCGTACCATATTCGCACACACAGAGATGCAATTATCAATTCACGTCCCATAGTGGATGATGTAGTAGAAGTATTAGCGGTAATGGAGAAGATTAGGGTTCGAAGATAGTATTCAAGAAGTATAATCCAGTGAAATAAACTTAAAAGGAGAACGATAAAGGTGATGAGGAATTCAGAAGATTAGAATTTGAGAGAAGACAAAGTATGAATGCATCTGCACAATTGCAAACGGTTTTGAACCATGTCTGCCAAAGTCTGTAACCAACGGTTGCTGTTGTCTCGCGGACCCCAACCAGGTAGTCTACATCTAACAATATGACTTAGTCTACTTGTCAGTGACTTTATGGATTTCTGCCATGTTTCGATCTGACGACCCGTAGCATTCATTCAGCCTATCTCTACACCACAAAACATAGCCCGTTGAGGCCATCGGTGGTTTGGCTTTCGTAAAACATGTCCCAACCACCCTAACTGATGAAGTTTCAATACTTCATCGATCGTCTCACGATACACGAGCAATGCTTCAGAGACACCTACGATCGAATACTAATAGCCTACTCCTAGTGGCCATATGGTAGGACGGAGCAAACTGCTGTGCAATAGTTTCGTCCTTTGGTTAGCAAATGGATATGTCGCCTACGCCATAAGTCACGCAAGTTGGTAAAAGCCAATCGAAACTTCTGTATCTGTGCGGTGGTTTCGTCAGACACCAGGTCATCAACACTGACGAAACTCCTAAGATAAGTGAAGTGGTCAACACGCTCAACTACTTCACTTCCTATCACTAGTTCAGGTGCCGATGAAACCCAATCTTGAAGCAATATTTTACATTTCGAGGGGAAAACCACATCCCGAACATGCTTGAATTGTGTTGCTTAAGTTGGTCAGAAGAGTCTGTATTTTTTCAGCGTCTTCACCCATAGTAATCCATAAATTGTCCGAACAAAGTGATCATCGCATTAAATATCTTATAACAATGAAGAAGTGAATCTTAGTTTTGTGTTTTTTCCCACTATATAGTGCGGCTTCAAATAGCTTAATCTCACCACGACACCGATAGATATCAATTTTTTCATGTTCAAAATTTTATTTTATTAAAGTGATAAGCATAATCTAACAAATACCTTAGACATTAAAAGAAACAGGACGTTCAAAGTATGAGAAATGGTTATCCGTTATGTAAAAGAGACTA